ACAAAGGCAAACAAACTCTAGGCTATAGCTCCATGGTCAAAGCAGTAGTTCTGCGGCGGTCTATGGCTCAGATGCAGTTCAAACAGGAGCTGAGCAGACGGGCGTGAGGAGGCTGGCTCAGTTTGACTTTTCATCAAATGAAACTGGACCAAACCAACTATTTCAACATTGGCGATTCACTGCTGGTGTCAGCTCTGTTAAAATCCCATTTGCACATGTATGGACCAATGCCTTGAACATGAAATATGTTTTATAATTATTCTGGGAACGCTTGCTTCAGATAAACAAATTGTTGAATGTTAGTGATCAATGGATGAAATTTGAGTGTTGATTATGGCAACTTTGATGGATAACATGCAATTTAATTTGTTTATCAGCCCAATCCAAAGCTTGGATAATACAAGGCTTCATCTGGCAATAACAAAGCAAAAAATAAATTAATAAAAACCTGTTTTTAAGTTGGGTATGTAGTCTGCGGTGTTGGTTTAAAAAAAGGTACGACAATCACAACAGAACCTGAGTTGCCAGGTCTGGTTTTTGAGAACACAAAAGTTTTGTGTCATTTCTCATCTGAACACCGATTATGGATTTCTGCAGGTGCTGGAGTTTAAGTTCATTTTTAAACTTTAATCGTAAGATCTGGCAACCAAAACGTGAGGCGCATTCATCTTTCTTTTGCTTGAGAACCAAAACACCACATGGGGAACATAAACAGCTTATCAGTAAAAGCGATAGTTGATCTCAGCATACCCTACATTTAAATGCCAATATGAAATACAGTCACATTTGCACATTTCCATCCCACATAGTGTCCTTGATATGATTTCACGCTATTAGCTTTTTGCCTAACAGCCCCCTTCACATTTGGCGTTTCTACAAAGAATATGTGCCTAAATGAGGTACTCACTGCTTCTTCAAGGCCATTGAAAATCCTCTATAAAAACAGCATCATAAACAGAACAGGGCTGTGTGGGCATCAAGTGCACTTCACCTCCTCTCACGGTTTAGGTGGTTTAGCTAGCGCCTTGTTAGCTAGCCTGGAAAATGCTTGGAGTGAATCTAACGGAAAGAAAACGGCAGCCCTCAGTGATGCCAAGACTGGTTAAGACTTGGATAAACTTATGCAAATGGCCCTGGTTTGTTTGGGCCATAAAATAGACAACATTTATGATTTTCTTTTCTTCCTTCTGCATCTCCCCTCCTCTGCAAATTAAATGCAACGATTGCAGACCTGACAGAACATATGGCAATTAGCTTAAGGCTAACGTTATAGGCTATATTTCCATGTGACTCACTGCCTGGGTGATTGTAATCTCTAGCTACATGTTCAACAACAATACTAGTCATTAAAGAGCAACTCAGCCCGAGCTTTGGAGCACAAGTACAAGTCTTCTTACAAGATCACGCTTGAGCGAAAAAAAACAACAAAAAAACAAAATGCAACAAGTGAAACAAGTGCGGTGAAACTTAGTAACAGTAATTTTCCCTTTGGTTTAGATAATATTGTCTAAACTGACATGTTTGGGCGGTAGGACTGGTGTGACTGGTGTTGCAGTTAAGATGCACTAATCAAGACCAAGACCTGTCTGAGATCAGGACCAGACCAAGACCTCTGAGAGTTGAGACCGAGACAAGTCCAAGACCACGGCCCACTGACACCAAACTGAGACCACCTTTGTCATTTTCTGCATTTATGTGTATTTTACAGTTATTTTGGCTCCTATATATCAATGTTTTTTTGTTTTTTAATTTTATTTTTTTTATAAATCTATCTCCATTTTATCTGATAAATGTTAATTTAGACTTAAAATAGACCAAGCAAACTGTACTGCACTTAAACACTCTGTGCTCCTCACCCGCACTTTAAGAGAACTTCCACTGGCACTTTACAGAAAACTGAAGAATGTGAAGAAAGTGGGTAGGATTTTTAAAACTTTTTTTTTTTTTTTTTAAAGTTTCTAAATGGAGTTACATTCTCTTACTGGTTTTGCAGTGGTATTGAGCCACTGCTCATTTACCAAATGAACGCTGTGACAAATGCAGATGCACCCGACGAGTCTCAGACCTCGAGTCTGAGACAAGACTGAGTCCAAATTCCTTCAAGACTGACACAAGACTGAGTCCAGATGCGGTCAAGTCCGAGCCAGGACTGTAAAGAGTGGTCTCAAGGCCTGTCTCGAGTACTACACTCGGTGTGACGTATCTCTTATCAGCTGTTTAGTTTAGTTATTTAATGAGACAGGGACAGTGCAAAGTATACATTAACCTTAATTTCTACCTGTAGTCCCTGGTCAGGTTGATGTTATAGTTCATAAAATCAAACATACAAAGAGAATCCCTTTATAATGACAGGAACATCATAACAAATCTGTATCCTCATTCACACCCAGGTCTCTGAGCACTTAAAATAATCATCCTTATCAAAATCATAATTCAATTCATTCGCTCCAGAATATCACTCTCTCCAGACACTCATCAGTCCACATTATGGGCGCAGGTTTCATTTGAAAGGAGCCACTGTTTTGCCAAGCGTGAGAACGTGCTGCTCCAGACGTGGTCAGTTTGACAGATCTGGCAGAACTATCAGACTGACCACCGTCACGTGGTGGTCTCTGGAGAAGTGAGTCCTAAGCATGAGCCAAGCTGAAAGGGCCTTTGTCTCTGTTGATGGTCTATGTCCAATAGCTGATTACAATAGCCTCTCGTATCCATCCAGTCCTACCGCCCAAACATGTCAGCTCTTTTTAAACTTAAATGTAGAGTTGTTAGAAAATGTAAAAAAAAAGTGAATTATTCTCTTTGCACTTTTTTCCAGTGGTACATTCTGTAACTTGCAAACAGAAACATATGTTCAGTGCTCACATTCAATATTAAGGTGGTGAAAACCCTAAAGATGGACACTTCACCCACCTGAGCATGTGTGAGTCACGATTAAAGGTCACCGTGCATGGAGTGTGAGCGTGAGCGTCTGGAAAAGTGCTATATAAGACGAATACATCATCATCATCATAACACTCTAACTGGTTGAAAAGCTATTAAGCCATCTTGAGTTGGTTCAGCCATGAAGGACTTAGAAATGACTCACCGATTGCTAATATACGAATTGTTTATGGGCGGAGTGAGCTGCTCTTTAATCTACAATATTACACTTCCTTTTATTTTATTATAATCTTTCATTTGGCACCTGCAGGACAAGCAAAGGCATCCTCGATCACAAATCTACGTCAATCCTCCGTACTTCAGTTGTATTTCCTTTGTCAAGTGTCTAAAAAGTTGTTGCTCTTATTGGCACCTGGCATTACATTCAGCCTAGAACAGGGAGGGGACTGAGAAGCCTCCATATTTGTAGATAGGTAGTAAAACTATTTCGTGTGTGCGCCCCCTAGCCTGTAGTGGTGTAGCACAGTGCTTACTTTGTTTTTGACTAAATATTGATATATAGATACATAGATTATTACAATAACAACAACTCCACAGAATTAAAAGTAAAATATGCTTGTATGCAGGTTAATGTATTGCTTAAGAAAAAGTTAAAATCTTTGCTTTTGTGGTTCGTATATGAGAAGGTGGTGTTTGCACATGCCCGTGGTGTGTTGTGATAGTAAATGAACTGGGGACACAGCAGCTAAAGTTATACAGATAGGATGTACTGTATGTCAAGTCACAGTAGACTTTACCCTGTTATCAAGAATATTACAGACACGGAGAAGCACGAACGCACATAAAAACACGGTTAGGAGAGGAGTCGAGAAAGACGCCGAAAAGGACAGAGGTAAAAAGTGAAAAAAAGTAGATAGGAAAGAACATTTGTGAAGACCAAGGAGAATCAAGAGGGTGGTTGTTGTTGAAGTAAGATTGCATGTGGAAGTTGCACTGTGTTGTCATGATACTACAATTTCAAATTCGATTTCAGTAGCCCATTTTATAACCCTGCATTGTATACTAGGCCAGTGAGGTCAATGAACTAAATATATGTCAGTCAGAGTATATTAGAAATATAAAATTTTTCCTCAATTAGAAAAGAAGTATGAGATTGTTGTATTGTGTCTTCAGTCACTGCTATGAAGAAGATACTATGTCCAATTTGTTTTGAACCAACAAATGCAAGAAATCTTTTCATCATAGTAATTATTTTCTGATTCTGAGCAATTCTCCAGATTTTGTGAAAATAAACTACTGCCTTTTTCATTTTTAAACTCATAAACTTGGCCAGTCCTTGAAGTCTCGATCACAGCAAGCTGTTCTGACAAATGTTGTGGCAGTGTTTTGCAAAATGACTCTATGTTTTAATAACCAATATGTTGCTCCTTTGGGTGAAATATATCTTGCAACAATTTAGTTTCAAATAATTCAGCTGTTAAAAAAAATCTCAGAGAAAACTCTTAATCAACCACCACATCCAACCTTACTACAACAAACACATTTTAGCTGAGACATGGCACTGGTCAACCTCCTCTCCCACTAAACAAGAACGTATAGAACATACACAAAGATGCCTGGGTCAGGCCTCACAGTTCTGCGGGGATGTAAACAGTTCATCAAGGAAAAAGGAACTAGGTGTAAGTGATTGGTTTAAGGGAAAAATATGTTTCTTTAAGAAGTAGGTATTCTGTGTTAAAGGCTTCTGAGAGCAGTCGTCCGACAGTACAAAGTCCCTCTGAGAGTTCGCTAATAAAACGACTGCTCGAGGTGAACGTCCAAAGCCCTTAACTGAACATAGAAAGGAGTTCTCTTCAGTTTCAGGCTTGTTTGAGTGAAACAAGTTCAGAGAATGCACATTGTTGCTGTGGTCTTTCACATATTGAAAGATAGTGACCATCCCCGGCGGGTTAGTTTGGCTTTTAGATTTCTTTGTGCAGAACTATATGAAAGGGCTCAGAGTTGTTAATTATTGAACTAACTTAGCTGCCCTGCCTTGGTCGATACTGGGCCGGCTAAAATCCAGTTCACCTGCTGATAGTGAAAGCCCATCAAGGCAGTCGTGTCCAGTCCTTTGTGGTTCAGACCTCACTCTCCACACTAGAGAAGTGTGCTGAGCCCCGACGCGAGCACATGCTCTTGGCTTTTAAGGGTAAATGTGGAGACTGTGGGAACCTCTGGGGCTGAGGGGCAGAGCGGAGTCTCTGATACTGCAGTTTGGCACTTGCCGAGGCCATGGAGGAGGAGGGAGGGGCGCCCGGCGTGGAGGACACTACAGAGGGGGAGGAGACAGAAGAGGAGGAGGTGGGGGGAGCGTGGATTGGATGGGACGTAGATGGAGGAGCAGGGAGAGCTGGGACAGTAGGTGGGATCAGTCCAGAAGGTGGCGACGGCTGCCTCCCTCTGTCCCTGTCCCTATCTGATCTGCCCCGCTGTTGCACGCTGAGGTTGGACTGGCTGCCGGATTTGGACAGATTTTGGGAGCGATCCGGCTTGGACGATGAAGAAGAGTCATGTTTGGGTTTCAGGGGACCTCCGCCAAAGCTCTGGCAGTGGTGGTACAGCTCCTCCTGGCTGCGGGAAGTAACTCGGGACCATTTGGCAGAGTGCGGGTGGTGTCGCGGAGACTGGCAAGAGGTACAAGCGGCATGCCCTCTGCTTTTATCCTTATACTTCCGCTTGCTTTTCTTCTCATCTTGTATATGCAGTTTATCCACGGACCAGTATCGTCTTGGAGGCGGAGGAGTTAAGGGAGGAGGAGGCCAGTGCGAACCCGATCCCCAGCCTCTCTCACCTCCATCTCCACCTCCTCCTCCTCCACCAGACCCCCACCCACTCTCCGTGGTTCCCCAGCGATCCCCTCTTTCCAAAAACAGGTCATCTCGACTCTCTACGCTTCCGATCTTTTCCCTAGAAGGATACGTACTAAAGAACCACCCACCTCCTCCTATCCCGCCCACCGCTCTGCCTTCGTGATCCTCCCAGTACCTCTCAAACTTCCCAAATTCTCCAGAAGATCCATCATCATCCGAGTATATCCCGACTACCTTATCCCGCTCCTCATCTGAAATCGATCTTCCCCCTGAACGTCTTTTTCTCTCTCCTTTCCGTCTCTCCTGATCCGATTCGTCTTCTACATCTGACTCCCATTCATGAAAGGACAACCCTTCTTTTGAATGCACATCTCCTCTATCACTCCTCCCTAGCAACGGTCTTCTCTCTCCCTCCACCCCAGTTCCATCCCTGTCTGAACTTTTACTTTTCCGTCTTTTTGAGGATACCGGCAACAACGGCAGAAAGGCAGACGGGATAGAGTCAGAAGTTTGGTTCCCTCCTCCCCAAAATTTCACAGAGGTTGTTGGCTTGCTGCTAGAACTCTGGTAATGCTTGCTATTTCTCCTCCTAAGATGTCTATCCTTTCTGCTCTCTTCTCCTTCATCCCTGTCTTTTTCGTCCTTCCTGTCATCGTCCGCTGGAGGTATATTCCACCCATAACTCCGAATTGAACTTTCGCTTTTCTTCCTAAACGATTCTCGCCTTAAAGGTGGGTACGAAGTGTAGTCCGGCGTTGCTGCTTTTTGTTCCTCCCTCTTCTCTCCCTCTCCTCCGTCTTGCTCCGATCTCTTCCGTTCCCTCTTTCGCGTCTTATCGTCTTTTTTCCTTTTTTTTTTTGCCTTACGCCTTTTTCTTTCCCTCTCTCTCTCCCTCTCTTCGCGTTTCTTTTTCTTCCGTCCTTTCTTTCTTCGCTTTCTCTCTCTTTCCCTCTCCTTATGGTGTCGCTTCTCGTCTCTGAGCCCCGCCCCTCCATCCCCCGCCCTCGTATTCGACTCCCTCCTCCCTCTCTCTCTATCCGCCCAAGACGCCCACCACTCTTGCAGCTGTGCGAGCTGGCTGCTTGTACGCTCCCTTACGTAATCTCTTTGGAGGCGCGGCTTTCTTGGCGGGACCGGTGGAGGGGGCGGACTGCAGGGGAGCGATCTCGAAGACATGCGGCGTGAGCGTATCTTCCTTCGAGAACCGAGCAGTAGGCTAGACTCCTCCGTCAGCAAATCTGAATCGTAATCATCGTCGACTGTAAAATCGCCCGCCCTATACCGAAAACTAAGAGAAGAATTGTATGAGCTTTCACTGGAACACGAAGATGGAGAGTTTGATCTGGAGAGCGAGGCAGAGGAGGACGAGGAGGATGACGAAGACTCGGAAGATTCAGATGACGACGCGCTTGAGCAGGTTGAGTAGAATCGGCATGGCGATGATGGCGTGGTTGGCGTATGGGTTGGCGAGGATAGCGGAACGGGCAGCGGCGGAGGAGGCGGGGGTCTTCTGCTCCGTCTCCCTTCATTTGGACCGTACCTTCCTCCACCCCTTCTCCCCAAAGGCAAAATATTCTCGTACAGCGGACCGCCTGAGCTTTTCCTTCTCGCTTGCGATAAACTACCTCTCCGCCAAAACGGAGGCCTGCGCGGAGATGAAGGTAGCGGCGGCGGTGGTTTCGGTATCATTAGTCCCAAAGCTTGTTGCGAACTTTTACTGGGTCTTGTCATCCCTGACGCTTTCACCCCTCTCGAATTTGCAGCAGATTTTTCTTTCTGTTGTTCCGAGTTTGCTCCCAACTCTGGATCGATAGGTCCATAGTACCTTTTGTACTCCTCTAAACTGGTATCTACACCCGCTGCAGTTGGAACACCTCCTTGCAAACTCCAGTGCTGCCCGATGTTTTGCTGATATTGCGATTGAGATGGTATTTCCGTTATCCCACCAGCAATACCTCCAATTCCAATACCACCACTGCTACTCCCCGCACTCAAAACTTTTTCCGGTTTTGGCCTGTTCCAGCGATCCACAACAGCGAGTCTGCGATCGTGACGAGGCAAGAACGTCGAACAAGGCATAGGTCCTTCGAGTAACGGACTATTGGAAGGTCCCAAAGCCATCGCAGAGTGTCCAGAAGTAGGTGGAGATCCCGGGAGCATGGTGGTGTAAGTTTGGCCTTGCTGTGGTTGGGGGTGGAGTTTTTGTTGTGGTTGTTGCTGTACCATGGCGATAGCGGTGGTGTTGTTGACGGTAGCGGTCACCAGGTGTTGTTGGGGTACGCTGGGCATGCTGCTCACAGAGTGGTACTGGGGCAGAGAGCCCTTACTGCCCCCTGGTGTCGTCTCGTCTTCGAACTGGCAGCAGCTGTACATCCCCTGAGAAGAGATAACAAAGAGAGATTGTAATTAGTGTGACAAGTAACAAGTGTGAGCTCCTGCTGCTCATGGACCCAAATTCAGGTGTTGGTCTTGACTGCCTTAGCTGAAAGAGTTTATCTATAGTGCATGTTTTGGTTGTTAGAGGAAACAACAAACTCCGCACAGAAAGGTGGTGACCTGATAATCAAACCCAGATCCTACTTGCTGTAAAGCAGGGGTCTTCAACATCCCCCTAACTAATGGAGAACTGAAGCAGGGACCCTTTACTATATATAAGACATTCATTTGTGTTTTATATTAAATTGGGCCTAGTGTCTGTATAAACAGCTACTCTATTATTGCACATTCCATACTAGGAGGGTATTCCATCAAAGTCACTTAACAAGTCCAGGCTTATCCTGAAATCCTGAGCTGAAACTAGCCCCATCTCCAGTTTAAGCCTCAACTTGTTCCAAGACAGAAATAAGTGCGAGTCAAGGCTAAGTTTAAGCTGCACTTTGTGAGTTCGTGGTGACTCTGAGAAGGACAGATCAATGAAGCAATGACATCATGGAAAATGGGCTCAAAATGTGACTTTTTTAAATGATTAAACAAGAGGAGCCACAGCACACATGGACAAGAGTTTGACATAGGACACTAAACTTTTCCGGTCATTCTGATCTGAGGAGCAAGAGGAAAGACACGACTCCCTCCTACTCTCCTGTTCACTTCGTGAGTAGAGAGGAGGCTGGCAGCGGACTTTGGAACTTGGTTTATGTGGGAAGATGCCTCACCCCTTTCCGATGAATGGTAGTATGTATGAATCTTAAGTTCCGCTGTGCGTAAAAGTAAAGCTGTAACAGAACTCTTTAGAACAAATTATCAAATCCGTGCCGAGATTCACAGGGAGCGAGAAACGAGGGAATGATGAGAGAGAGTCAGACGTGATGAAGGAGCAAACAGCCAGAACCCCCTGAAAACCAGTTCATCCTCATCCTTCAAGAAAGATTTTTGCAGTACCTTCCCCCATTGAAGACCTCTGCTGTAAAGCATAAGTGCTAGCCAAAGTATTTGTTCATTATGAATTAAGTCTTTGTTTCCGCTAAAATATTACTAAGTATTACTTGACTAAAACAGATAATCAGTTTTAACAATGATTTAGTCTTCAGAGGTTTTATGAAAATCATCAACCAACAAAACTGAATGTGTCAATCACTGTAAAAGAATTATATCTATCCACCCATCCATCATGTATTCATCTATCTCCCACGTACATAATCCTGTAATCCTGCATTGTAAAATAATCATAATTCTTTTTCTCAACTGAAATTGCATGCACCTAAAACTTCACACACTGTCTGAGATGATGAATAGTTGCTGTTATTCTTTAATATTTGAGTCTTTTTTTAAAATTTTTATTTCTTTTTTTAGGTAAAGTTTAAATAGCTAATGTAAACAAGGTCTTCCCTGACACGGATAAGACAGAGGAAACTCAGAGCAGCAGAAGGAAACTGTGAACAACAAATGAGCTGCTCATTATAAACCCGACCACCGCACACAGAAGCAAACACACACAGACAAACACACACAGACACACACACAAACACACACACACACACAAGCTGGGGAGGAACAAGGACAACCAGATATCTTTTCTTTTAGTCCTTAAAACTTTTTTTACTGTTCTATTTTTACTATCCAGCTTATATAACAAATATCATTATAGGGTTATGTCACTAACTTAGAGTAATAAGAGTTTAAGTTTAAGAAAATAAGATGCTATAACAAGTGGAGATAAGTCAAGTCAACAGATAATCATTTGTTCAATCAATAAATCGATTAGGGGGATTGAACAGAATCCCTCAGCAAGAAGATATATTGCTTTTTAAATCTCAATTTGAATGACTGCAGTTAGTATACAGCAAAGATGTCAATTATTTGAGGAGCCAAATTTACTCATCCTGCTAATCCTGTACTTTAGAGCTCGACAAACATGTTCTGAAATGCATGTGATTCTTGTATTAGTTTATCTGTTCATGCTTCAAAAGTCTTCTCTGGTTAAAATGTACATTTCAAGCAAAGTCCTAATATTAAAACATAAATACATTGGGACATAGTGACAATATTCAACAGTGGGAGCTGGGACAGAACCGTCAAACGAGATGACAGATAACTGGATCTGAGCACTCGACCAATAAAGTTCATGCTGGGAGCAGAATTTGAACCAAAATCTTCAGACGAACACCAACTGAACTACTGCTGCCCAATAAACTGAATTGCAATGCTTAGAAAAACAAATAGTTCAGCCCTACTCCTTATTCGTTTATTAATAATGAATGCTTTCAATAAGGCTAGTTGCCATTATGGTGTTCAATTTAGTATACACTATTTTTCACTTTGGGACATTTTGCCCTCTTCAAATGGTACATCTACTACATTGTAACTCGCCTCAAGGGGGCGCAAACGCAGCAACTCGCCTCCTGACAGGAACCAAAAAGTGGGAACATTTTACCCCAGAGCTTGCTTTGTAGAAAAGCTTGGCCAAACTTTAAGATATAAACACTTAAATCTATCAGAAATTGGCTGATAAGTAGTGAAATAATCTGTCCATGCAGCACGATCATTTTATTTGACAAGTTCTCTTAAAATAAACTACCTCTAGACTAGAATGAAGCAGTCTCAGAATGAGTTACTCAGTAAGTAGATAATAAATCTGAAAACAAGATGAATAACCAGATATAAGTTTTAAAATATTGGCCAGATCTGAGGAATTTGCAGTGTGCCACCCTCCTGCCTACCTGTCCATGTTAAAAGACATTTTAAAAAAAAAGCCTACATGTTCTAGCCCCACCTTACTCATCAGAGCTCTTACATCGTCACACGCCCAGTCGAGCTCTGAGGTCTGAGGACCAGCTGCTCCTCTGTCCCTCCTCCACACTGAACACCAGAGGAGACAAACTTTGGAACAGAATTTTTTAACCATCAGGGGGCGCTGCTGAAACACTAGAGGACTGTGAAAGTCTGCTCAAGATACTGTTTGCAAAAGCATTTACCATTAACTAAGCTGCAGCACCTTCCATTTTCAATTATTATTTCAACCTATATTAACCTAATCTAAATTCTCTAGATCTGCAATTGGTTCCATATCTGACCAAAATATTGGGGTCCAAATTTTATGCAAATTAATTATTTTTTAGAGGTTGCTCAAGACACTTGAAAATTGCCCTACAGGGCCTATGCTGTAACATTGCCAACCAAATAAATAAGGCATAAAAATTACTTAGAAGGTCCATATAAAGTTACTTAGAAAGTCCATAAATCCATAAAAAGTTACTTAGTTAGTCCAGCAACCACTGTGACTTTGTTGGCTTCACAAAAGATGTGCCTGTGCTCTTTGACTTGCAGTAGATACTGTTTCTGATCTTCATTCTTTGTTCGGCTACAGTTAAAATCTTCAATGAGCTTCAGCCGCTTTCAGCAACATCACTGACCACTTTCCTGGAATGCACAGTTTTAGCAGCCTTGTGAATGTCTGCATCATCAGACCAGTCTGTCGGGGAATTGTTACAAATATTTTTGGCAGATAAAGAATCTACAAAAAACACATCGTGACTGACGTCTTCTCTTCATAATCTGCTTGATTAACGGCACATTAATGGTCGAACCTCTCAGCCTTCCTTTTCCATAATATTGTGAACCATCAGCTTCTTCTGTTCTTCTGTCACACTGGAGTGGAAGAATGCCAGGTCAACCATTTCTTCATCCAAGTACCAAAGATGTCGGCCAAAAGCTGTTAAGGTGCTTTCTTGACAACTGAATTTTCATACTGTGACAGCTTCTTAAGGAAAACCAAATCATCTACAGGAGCTTCAAAACTTCATGCAGCTTGAGCAACCTCTAAAGCATCTCCTACCTAAATCATCTTTTGGATGCTAAAACCTAATGAAACTTTATTTTCTACCATGCTTTGATGGACCACCCTTCTGTGTATTATGTATTGTGGTTTACTGCTTTATGTAAATGTTTGGTCAACTGTGGTGGTTTTTAAATGTGCTATACAAATAAATTTCACTTGCCTTAACTACACTGACATCCATCTTGACTTTCTAGCCCAAATTTAAACGCCTTCCAAGATAAAACATATCCCGGCCACAGTCAAACCACATCATATTTCGATTTGAATAAAACCTCTGAGCTCGGCTTCTATCCCTATCTCCATCCATCTTTATTTGTCCTCGCTCAACTTTACGCAACCCAGACCTCTTAATACACTCCCCCGTCTCCGTCTCCGTCTCACTCCGCGGTCCACTCTCTCCGTCATGAATAAAAGATCATCCCCAACGCGTGAATTAGCACTTCCTTACGCAGCCTTTTTCATTTAAACACCTCCAAAGATTTATCCAACATGAAATAACCCCATCCCATATTCGGCGTTCAGATAGATAGATGGTTCTCAATTAGCAGCACTGAGGAGGGCCCTTTAAATTATCTATGCCGGCCGAAGATTCATTAGGACTATAGAGATCTTTCGGCGCGTTTGATGAATGCTTTGCCGGCTCGCGTAAATCTACCCCACGCCCCATTGGGAGGTGGGTCCGACATGGGGGGGAGATGTGTAAGTAATAATAATAGACATTTCCTGGTGTATGATTCAGCGGTTCTGGCTACACGCGAGGCACAGCGGTGTGAAATTAAACCCGGAGAAGTCAGTGATTGGGTTAAAGGGATTGGACATAGTGGCTCTCAGACATATAGAGAGATTTAAGGGAGAGAGGGAGAGGGGGAGAGGGCAGAGGAGGGCACGGAACACGGTGTATTTATCCAGAAAGGGAACATACTGTAGGAGATAAGGACTGTGTTTAGAGACGGGAGGTGAAATCGGTCACAGGGTTTACAGGTGCAGCTGGATCAGATGTGAAGCATATGGAGAAAATAAGAGGTAGACAGTGTTGGGGAGTAACAGATTACATGTACCAGCGTTACACATAATCAGAGTACAATTTATGAGTAACTGTATT